ATATCATAAAATGTACTGATCATAATAGGGACTGACAGGCCATCTTCGTTCTGAATCGTTGTTCATGTGCAATGATTTTATATCATTGAATTCTAATTGAATTATTACATAGTGATTCACACGACACTTATATTATCAGRCTGAAACACGCTTGCCAATATTTTTTTTAAATCTGATAAGCATAAAATCAATGATACGTTTATTTAAAATAAGTAACATACGTTATCGATAGTAAAATTATATTATTATGAGTGATGGATAAATTTATTCAAATTATTTTTAACAGAAAAGAGCTAAAATCAGGTATGCAACAACTAACCTGTATGAAAGTATCTATCCAATTACCTAATACTTTTTGTTTCTCGTGAAAGGTTATGACCGGATTAATTCAAATCCCTGGTACCGCTAGTTTTTAATGGTACGGAAAAGCTATCAAACATCAATTTACAGGGACATTTTTAAGCATATTCATCCCATTTTTCCCTTTATACTTATTCAAATTATGACTTTTAGACATTTCAAGTATACTTAAAGAYCATATCTAAATTCCTTTMCTGTGGTAATACAAATTTCTTTTTTTCAAATGAGTGCCTGAAAACTTGTAAGACTGTTATAGTGTTATTATACTTATCTGATAATAATCATAATATTAACCTCTTGTTACATATTATGGCTCTTAAAAAATTTATGCGATAACACACGGTTGAATGAAAAATTTAGTTTAATTATTTTTTATTTGTATTATAATACATTTAAAAATCAAATCTAATTAAATAGTAATTTAGTGTGCACGTGGAAAAAAAGTAAATTACATATTTTATATAGAATTGAAATACATAAAAACGCAGTAATAAGTACGTAGTAACTAAGTATGCTGTAACATAAATTTGAAATCCTGGTACTTAGTTGTAATGTACCTACAGTTTAACAACTTAATTTCAAGATAATTCTACAAGATTTTAAAAAGGTATTGTTATGTTTGATTTTAATCAACTAATATTGTTGTAAAACATTTTTTGTTTTCAGTTTTTAATCAATCATAATGGACGAAATTCATTACAACGCTGTATGCAATAAATCTCTGGAAGGAATTAAAAACCTAAGGAATAACGATTCGATTCCAATAGATGATTGCAATAATTATACTAATCATACGGATTTTTATATAGAACGTGAGTAGAAATAAAAATTATACTCCATTATATTATTTTATACATACCTATTTTATTTGTAAACAAATATATACAAGAAGTAAAGAACTGGTTTTGTAATATTATTTACTAGCTCCATAATTGATGTTTACTATGCCTAAGTCAGCATTATTTTGTGGAGAGTAACATCGGTTGATTTACACTTATAAATTATAGGTACTCGATTCGAAGAGTATAGTTATRAATCTTTGTTAGCGTAAGTTTTGTCTGATATTTATTTGTATATACAATRTATTGAAATTATATATTAAAGGTTATCAGACATATCTAGTTGCGACTGGGCTTAAGTGCACCTCACTGCATAGACATTTATCGTTTAGAAAAAAAAAAAACAATAAACTTATACATATTAAAAGAAATTATTACTTACAAATAATGTGCAAATCAATTTCAATTAAATACAAACTGGTTTAACGATTTTTATGAAAAAATTATTTCGATCAAATGTAGTGTTTTGGTTAGTCTTGTAATTATTTAATTTATATTTTTTATAATTATTGTCTAGACTCTAGACCAGTAGTTCTTAACCTTTTTTATTCCCCTCTTGTAAATTTTAAATATTCTTACGCMTACTTCATTAAATTATAGTTTAATTTTAAATAACTAGGTATAAATTAATTTTTATAATATATAATACATCGATGGATTACCACCTAAAAATTAATGTATTGTTATCAATTTTACTAATATTAAAATGTCATGATCAACATCGCCGTAACCTTTTCCATGTGTAGTATCAAAATCCTCCTCCAGGTTAGTAAACACGGATTRTATATCTTGAGATCCACAGTTAGAAAATAACTGACTAATTAAAGTGTTTTTTTGATATTTTGAGCTAATTAAGATTGAGATCTTTGATTAAAAATTATAGCAGATATAGGCCATTTTAATTGTTTAGAAAATTGGAAAGAAGTGAATAGTTGTTATTTTAATTTATGATCAGATACATACTAGAAATGATATCTAG